CTCGAATTAAGTCAATGGTCTTTGGTAAGAAGCCATTTAATAAGCAAGATAATATATAGTCAGTGGTTATTATTGCAAAAATACACCATTTTAGGGTGATACAAGACTACGTAGTTTCACAAGATATCAGCTGACTTATCTCAGTTTGATTCATTCAGAATGGGTTGTTAAATACTCAAGACGTAAAATGTGTTGCTGTAAACAAAAGCAACATTTTTAAGGAGGCTTTGAAGATTTGCCCAGTAAAGATACTGTACAAACTGGGTAGGATATCAGTAACCAAGCCCAGCATGAAGACTTCATGTCCTATTGTGCCACCTTGTGGTCTATTTACCATTTTCCTGAAACATTTGTAATGAAAACTCCAAATGTAATTCTGTGTGATGGTTTATTTCCAGACATCTGAAATACACTGACATATTTAAGATACAGTTTGGTTTGTGTTATGCTTTTTGTTAAATATGTGGTGGTCATGATGTACATAATGAACATTAATTACAAAGTATATTTGTGAAACACCTAGACAAAAAAAAAGAAAATTAAGGGCAAACAGTCTGACAGTCAAAAAAAAAAAGTACACATTTATTATCATGCAACATGGTGCAAATATCATTTAAAAGAGTGCATAAAACAGTAGCTTCTTTTCACTGGCATTGTATGTAACCTTTTCCATTGCCACAGGTAAACCATTTCCAAAAAAAAAAAGAAACCTTGTTAAAAGGACATTTCAGTCTCTGTGTACACCAGTGCCATCATGTCAACAAAAACATCCTACACTCAAAGTTCATTGTGGTATAATAAAGACCATTAAGTTGAAATGCAGTTAAGTCCTTTCAAGGTTTTAATGAGCTGTTTTGGTTATTAAATGCTTCACTTGTGGGCCTACAAACATGAATCAGTTTTCCATACGCCAGCACTTACTGTAAATGATGCACTAATGCAATAGGTGATACAGGCTCTTTAAAACTGATGTTTCTCTGGCAATCAGTTTAAAAATGTTACATTTTGTTTAGTGTTTATTTGTTATTGAAACGATATATAAATATTCATGCATAACAAAAAAAAAGCTTTGACCTTTGAATGTGATTTTCTGGGATAATGCAGTGTGAAATATTACATACTTAGACATTGTTACATACAGTGTGTTTAGACTACTTTTGAGACTCGTGACTCCCCAAACCACAACACACACATATAATAAATACAGAGTTCTGGTATGAAACTCTAGATGGCGCAGTCCGATAGGTCTAACTCAATCTGACCTAATGACATCATCACATGGCACAGCTGACTGGTTCTCTCCTGTATCGGTAGCCAATTAGCTCACTGCTCAACATTCAAATATATGACTAGAGCTTGCCGTAGCAGTTGCAGCTTGCTTCAGAAACCATCCACCTTCCCCAGCTCCACCTGTATAAATCTGCTACGATGTACTCATGTATGCTGGGGGTTATTTCATGTGTTATATTTGCAGCAGCAATATTTATTACATGCTCACAGCAGCATGTTGTGGATATATTGGCAGTAGCAAGTCTCGGTACTTGCTCTGCCACAGCAGCAGCAACGTAGCAGATCTATTCCACCAAGACCAAATACATTAACATTGTCATGTACATTACCATGCCAATCCCTCCGAGAGTTGTCATGACAGAAATAAAATCGGCAAGAAATACTAACATTCAAGTTAACAGATACAGTTCAAAACCTTCAGTCTGATAGTATTACTCTACAAAGTTTAAAATGTCAGAAATGCAATAGAAATGCAGTGTTGCATAATTGTGGCACATCAAGTTACTGCTTGCTACGATCCTAACGTGCGACTCCTGTCCAGTCTTTTCTTGGCAGGGTTTGGATACTGAGGGTTCTCAATAACCCCTTCCCCAAACTTGAGTTCCAAGAAGGCACGGTGGTTGTTCGGACCATAAGCGGTGATGCCGGCAAACTGCATTGGCACCAGGGGCTGCAAAAAATGCTCTGGGAACTCCACGTCTTGTTTGTGCTCAGTCCAAGTGTCCCTGGTCATAACTCCATTGCGAGAGTAGAAGGGCCACAAGTCCACATGCAAATGGTTGGCTTCACTATACTGCACACGGTAGAAGTCGCCCTCGACCGCTCGCTCCCACACGTAGCCGTTAGCATCCACCAGTGAGCCAGAGTCTAGGCTCTTTAGGTAGTCGCAATTCGGAACATCCTCCAAGTAGATGCCCAAGTCCACGTCGTAGTCCCAAGGGATTATGTCCTGGTGTCGGGCTGCTCCCAACAAGGAACCCCCTTCCAGCCAGTAACGTACGCCAGAGCTCTCCAAGATATTGATAACATATTTAGTGGTCTCTCGGAGGGCGCGCAAGCAGCAAGGTGGAGTCCAGCGCTCTATGTAGAGGTATTCCGGTGTGTCGTCACGCACTGTGCCGAAACATCGTGGAGTCTCTTTACTGCAGCCAAACCACTGATGCCGACCATCAGCCAGCACCACGTGCTTCAGGCCGAAGCTACGCATGAGGTGATTGGTGGCGTCTTTCAGGCGACTGTCCGCCTTCCACTGGTTGTGCGCTGAGCTAAATAGCGGGCGATGACTTGCAGAGAACGAAGGTCCCTCCAGGAGCTTGACCTTCCAGCCACGCAGAGAAGTTTGGACAAACAAGGAAGATATGAGAGGGCGCCCTAAGGGAACTGAGAGATTGAAGAGGTCCTCGGTGCGGATAAGAATCACGGCATCTCCCTGCAGGGCTGTGCAGACGCTACCACTGCTCCCTGAGGCCGCAGGGGTGTAGGTCGCAGTCCATTCCCGCAGATTCACACGAAGGTGCAGGCACTGCACCGCCGAGCGGGTCAGCACCGGGGCGGCAACGAGTCGGACCGGCCCGCCACCTTCGCCTTCCAGTTCCCGAATGAGACGCTCAATTTGTCGGCCGTGGTCCAGCTCCATGCCATCTGGAACCAACAAAGCAAACTCTGTCTGCACATTGAACTCCGGACGGTGAGTTTGTGGAGGCTGGTCAGGGCTCGGTGACAATACCAGGAGGCGGGCTGCCTCTGGAAGAGCCAGAGGAGGGTACGGTGGACTTTCGGCTACAGCAAGGAAGGGCAACTCTGGTCTCTGGCGCAAAAAGGAGCGTGCAACATCACCAACATAGTTTTCAAAGTCTTCAAATTCACGAACGAGTATCGTGACGCGTGGACCACGCATGTTGCCCTCAAGGCCTCCCATTTTGGCGCCTCCAACCATACTTCCACCTACCAGATTACCTATAGCTCCCAGTCCAGCCACAGGCAGAGAGGCCTTCTTTAAGCCGTTACTTTGTTCCCGACGCTTCTCCATCATCTGCTGCTGGGCCCGTGAGACATAATATAGGATAAGCAAATTCAAAATTATTGCTCCTGTTAACAAAGCCTGGCAAAAACTGATACGCATTATGGCTCTTGTGGTTAAACACTTTTATGATGCATACAGTAAGGGAAATCTTAAATAGAAAGAGGACAGAAAATCTTGACTTGAGAGTCATAACCTGTCCAAATTCCTGAAATCTTGAACATTATCATTTTGGTCTGGCCAAAAAGTAAGCAAAGGGGAAAGCGTTTGGGTGCTGGATATTTGATGAAGCATCTTCTTTGACCAGATCAGTTTCAGCTGATGTCTTCCTCTGTGTCAACTGATGCCATCCAGGAAAAAAAGACTGACTGACAGATTCCATATTTCGACCCAAGTGCCTTTAGTTCACCACAGTCCATTAAATAAATGCTATACATGGAGACAAAACAAAGAACATTTTAATAAACAAATTCACTTTTAGCTCTTCAAAGTTTAAGGTAATTGTTTTGGAAATTCAGTTCAAGTTTGTATGGCAAAAAGCCTTTTAGTCCTCACTACTAAGTCTAGCAAACAAAGATGACCTAGAAATATATAGAGATGTTCCAAGCTACTGTCCCATTTAGAGATTTGCTCTAGATTTGAGTATTTGAGAAACTATCATATGATCTCTTGAGACAGGTCCTCCAAATATAGAACATGCATGCAAAATTAAACCCAAACAAGTCTTCATCCATCGATTCATGTAGATCTATGCAGCCTCTGTTCTTGAAAGCATACACATACAAAGACACGCATCTTCATTATGCAAAACGGTCAAAACCACGATTGTGAGAACTAACATTTTAAGGTTGATTCAACATTCCTCATCTGTACATTGTTTGCACGGTATTCTTGCTATCCTTCCTCATGCTTAATTCGGAAATGAGTAAAGGAAGCCTGAGAGAAGATCACAATGTAGCAGGAAGCTCATACTACTGGGTCGCCTCGATCAATCCCATAGAAATAGAAGGAGTGGGTAGAATGACACGTAATGTGACACTAGTGTTCCCAAATGGGCGGGGCTTAGGGGAATTTTTTGCAATGGGTGAAAACAATATTTTTCATTTTAAGGCTTCACCGTGCATTCTGCTTATGATCTGATTAGATCATTTATTAATCATACAAAATATTTTATATATTTATTTTATATTGACTCATATAAAATAAAATATGTATTTTAAAATGCTTCTGCCTGCAATTTTATAAAAAAAAATTAACTAATGAATTATAAATTAGAATATTGAGTTTCACAACTGACAATATAGAGCAGGGATCCTCAAATCTGGCCCACGAGATCCACTTTCCTGCAGAGTTTAGCTCTAACCCTAATCAAACACACCTGAGCATGCTAATCACTGTCTTCAGGATCATTAGAAAATCACAGGTAGCTGAGTTTGATCAGGGTTGGAGCTAAACTCTGCAGCGCATTGGACCTCCAGGGCAAGATTTGAGGAACCCTGATATAGAGCATATAAAATAAATATGCACGCGGCTCTGAGGAGAAGCGTCATGTGACCCCGTTTACTTTTCTCATCGCTAGTCAGGATGGACCAATCACAGCCATCCGTGATGTTGGAGTCGTATTTAAAAACATATATATATATAGAGAGATTGCTGAAGTGGATTAAAATTTTGTAGGTCAGCAACAAATCTGTGTATTCAACAAATTTAAACGATTACACGTTTTAGCAGTCGTACGTCTCCTATTAAACAAAAAACGTCTTGAAATTTGAATTGACCTCAATAGAGAATCATGCTTTTGGAGCCGCGAACCGTCCCCTGCGGAAGCCAGCTTTATAACCCATAGGGAGCAGTTATGAGCTGGTAGCGTTCGCAGCCATTCCATAGTCGGAGTGGAGCACTATTTGGCACTTTTCTGTGCGTGTGAGTACTCGTCTATCTATCTGTCTGTATCGGGCAGGAAAACGGGAGAGGGCTTCGGTGGAGACTTCAAGCAACGGGGTGGCTTATTCTTCTGTTTGTCCACCTCCTGGCTCCGGCGACAGCTCGAACGCTCTGATGGAGGCGGAAAGATCCGGCGGGGTGGCGGGTGGAACGAATCAGAGCGCTGCAGGAAGCGGAGCGGGGCGCAATCCGAACGGGCCGAAGGCTATGCTCGGTCCCGCTCCCACCGCAGCAGCCGCCGCGGCGGCCGGGGCTATGGCTGGATCCTCCCAGCCGCGAGATCCGCAGGACGGGGACGCGGGCCTCTCGTTGCCCGGGATCTTACATTTCATCCAGTATGAATGGAGCCGCTTTCAAGCCGAGAAATATCGCTGGGAGGCCGAACGAGACGAGCTGAGGGTAAAAAAACTAGTTTAAATTTTTTTTATTTTATTTTGTAATCGCTTGTTTTGGTCTCTTCCAGACGGATTCCTGGAGGAAGAGCTCATTTACAGATAAGACGGAGGAAGAAGTCACGATCTCCTGCTATTATCGTTGATTAGATGTAGTTTTGTGATTACATCGGGTTTAAGTATTCATTAAAACAGTAGCAAATGTAACTGTAAAAATTATCCTTCTGTTGAATACCCATACCTACCTTAGGATAGGCATTGATTCTGGATCTGATTCATCTGAACGATTCTAATACCGTAGCGGTTCTTTCAGTATTTTTTTTGAGGGGGAAAAGACAAATCAAATATACAATTCATATTGTATTTACTGCTGGCAGCAGTTTGTTGCCGATGAAGAGATCAGCTTTCAAAAGCAGATAAATGCAATACATTAACTGGTCGTAACTAACGTTATATACGAATTTGGTAACACATTTGATTAAAACAAAACTCATATTGCGTATCTTTAACTACACGTTGTCACACACTGATTGAAATATCACGTGCATAATTTCGAGACTAGGGCATGACCAAAATAATAAAGGTATAATTCACCCAAAAATGAAAATTCTGTAATTTACTCCCCTTCAAGTTGTTCCAAACCTGTACGAGTTTCTCTTTCTGTTGAACACAAAAGAAGATATTTTGGAAGAATGTGGGTAACCAAACAGTTGCCGGTCCCCATTGACTTCAGTGGTTTGGAAAAAGAAATGCAATGGAAATCAGTGGAAACCAGAAACTGTTTGGTTACCCACATTCTTCGAAGTATCTTCTCTGGTGTTCAACAGGAACTCGTACAGGTTGAGGGCGAATAGATGAAAATACAATTTTCATTTTTTTGGGTGAACTGTCGCTTTAACTTGCAGTTCAGAAAGTGAGTTAAATGAATTCAGGAACTGAAACCAAATGTGTGTGTTTTGATTTTGATTCTTTATAAAAAAAATAACCAGCTTGTTTAAGAGTCGTCTGATACACAAACAAATTATATTGGTGGAGTTTTATGTTTTTGATTTACTAAAAAACTGCTCATAAGAGTCATTTGTGTATGAATTGAACTAGAAACAGTTGTATTTCTTGCTTCATTTCTATTCAAACGTGACAAAAGGAATACATTGAGGTTTAGTAAGCGAGTCAGTTAAATGCTTCGAGTTACTGGTAAATGTTTTTAATTGGATGATTTTTGATTCACCTAGAAGCATCACACAAACCATTCGTTGTCAAGTTTAGTTAGATCCTCTAAAAGAATGGGTTCATACAAGTAACTTAACGAATTGGACTACAATGGTTGTGTACTTTTGTACGATTTTGTGTTTTATAATTATCGAAAATAATCAGCTGACAAGAGTCATTCATTCCGAAATCAGACTGCACTGATGTTTTAGCTTGATTGGTTATAGAAAATATTTTATACAAGTCATTTGTTTAGGAATCGGACTGCATGGGTTGTGTACATTGTAGGCTTGTACGTTTAATTCTCCAAAAAGGTTTATAAAGTCATTAGGAAATACGTTTTACTGATTATTATTATTATTTAAGAATAGAGGTCACCTAGGGTTGCACAAACAAGCACTTATTTTGGTCTCGGTACAAAAAAGTACACTTAATTTCCTGTCCTTCGCACAATTGCTATGCTATTTCTGTTGTTGTTTTGCTTCTTTCAGAACCCTGGCATTAAGTGCAATATAATAGAATCAAGGCAGTTCAGAGACAGTGATGTAAAAGAGCTCCGGCTGACATTTATTTGAAATTTTCAATAAGTGTTCTAATAATAATTGACTTTGTGATGTCACGTGACCCTATTGACTGCTACTTCTTTTGTAAATTGTGAAGCTTCTGTTCGAGGCATGACGTAATGCAGTCCTGCTGGAGAATTAAAGCATGTTTTTTTCTTTCTTTTCTCCTCAGTCCCAAGAGAGCCGATCTGTGTCTCTAGCACAATTTCGTCATTTAGTGCTATTACTTGCATCGTATTACGGCATCTGAGAGATGTATAGCTCTTTTATATGTAACTTAGAAACAGAAGTTCTCTTAGGAAAGCTTGCACTCACATCAAGAACATATTAGAGATCGGAGAAAAGCTGTTCCAACCGAGGATTAGGGATTTGCCCCGAATAAAATTAGCTTAAACCGTCTTTTTTGAGTCTGGACTCCACTGGCTCAGTTTGCAGTAGATCTTGGCCTGAGAAAAAGCCTTGCAATTAAGTGACCCCATTCAAACAGTGCCTGTAGTAGATTACATAAGGAGTTGCCAGTGTGCTCTATAAAAGGATAGGCCTTGTGGCTCTCGTGGATGTGTTCTTCTTCTGTCATGCCTCTTCTGGACATGCCCATGGAAATGTGCACAGACTTCAGGCCAGGGAGCAACTGCTATGTTTTCCATGACACTCACACACACACACACACACATACATACATTGTCTTTGACTTGGCCTATAAAAGGATGGTAAGGGACAGTTGTAGTGTGAGAGTAGCTTCACTCCTCCTTGGTTTCCCCTGCCGTGGGGCATCGCATTCCCTGATGTTTTTATGTGGGACACCTGTCAGTGTGCTCTATAAAAGGATAGGCCTTGTGGCTCTCGTGGATGTGTTCTTCTTCTGTCAGGCCTCTTCTGGACATGCCCATGGAAATGTGCACAGACTTCAGGCCAGGGAGCAACTGCTATGTTTTCCATGACACTCACACACACACACACACACATACATACATTGTCTATGACTTGGCCTATAAAAGGATGGTAAGGGACAGTTGTAGTGTGAGAGTAGCTTCACTCCTCCTTGGTTTCCCCTGCCGTGGGGCATCGCATTCCCTGATGTTTTTATGTGGGACACCTGTGCCATTGTGTTTCCTTTGTGGCAGGCAGGACAGGTATGATGTCCTCTGATGCAGGATTATTGTTAACTAAAACTATAAAATATAAATATTAATTGTTGCCTTGGTGTCTAGCTGAAATTTCCATTTTTTTACTGTAAGTAAATAAAAATGAAAAATTAAACGTACAATAAAAGTAATATTTAAAATAATAAAGTAATAAAAATAATAATAATGACAAACACATAACAAAGTTGTTAAAATTAAAGGAATAGCTAGTGCTCCCAAAAATGAAAATTTGCTGAAAATGTACTCATGCCCAGGCCATCCAAGATGTAGATGAGGGGTTTTAATTTATTTTTTATCTGAACAGATTTTAATAAATGTAGCATTATATCACTTGCTCACTAATGAATCCTCTGGAGTGAATGGGTGCCGTCAAAATGAGAGCCCAAACAGCTGATAAAAACATCACAATAATCCACAAGTAATCCACACCACTCCAGTCCATCCATTAACATCTTATGAAGCGAAAAAAACTGCATGTTTGTAAGAAACAAACCAATCATTAAGACATTTTTAACTTTAATATCTTTCTAGGGCCCTATGATTTCCGCAATGCGGAAAACACGGACGGAATCGCGGAATCCAATCATAAAAATGAATTTTACTGTATAATGCGGAATGTCATGGAATTTGTCAAAGTTTAGATTGATCAAAAGTAGGTCAGTACACTGAAGTCAAAATGCGATATGGGCTAGTGTCTGTATATATTAAGCCACAAAAAGACTATTTAAATATGAATCGTGCATGTTCTGCGTTTGAACGAATGGCGCACTTCACATACTTAAGCTACACATATGAATAAATGAGGACATAAATACATGAGCAAAATCCCCAGAACTGCTCTGAGAGTCACTTCATGAGTATTTTACCGTTTCATTTGAGACAAACTATCGTCATGCCATACACACAGAAACTTAAAGGTCCTTATCCGTCAAAATCAAAGTTTGGTTTAACTTGAAGAAATTGTGTCAGAAATATATTATTATTGTGCAGTAGAATGTACGTAATACTACTATTATTACTAATAAAATTATTATAAGTTTGTTTTAAGTTTTGTTTTTTGTTATATGCCGCCTTCTGATAACCAGAAAAAATACAACACATAATTTCTGAAAAAACAAAACCTTTCACGGTGCTATTGTAAAAATAAATTGTAATAAATTAAGTTATTTTATGCATTCAAATAATTACCTTGATTATTACAATTTAATTAAACCATTAAAATAGAATCCAGAAAAATTTAATTGAAAAACGCTGAATTTTGCAACAAGACAAACACATTTCATAGGGCTCTAAAAATGCTATTATTGTTCAGCTTTTACTAAATTGATGTTAAATTGTATAGGTTCCATGATTTTAATTAATTAAAAAAATGGATTATAGGGTCCTATTTCATTGCTTCTAGCTAAATGCTCAGTCCTCTATCCATAATTTTGCTTTCTCCAGGAAAAGTCTTCTCTGAATCAGGAGAGAAATATGCACAGATCAAGCACTGTTAACAAGCAAAAACAGTTCTAAACAAATATATGGGTGGATGTAGATGTGAGAAGACAACAGTGGATTTTTTCACTGGTGGAAGAGTTATGGATTATGGTATTTTAGGCAGAAGCAATGGTTTTAAATGCCTTGATTGATTTGTTTTTTACAAACATGCCGCTTTTTACTTAATGTTAACTGATGGACTGGAGACATGTAGACTACTTGTGGATGATTGTGATGTTTTTATCAGCTGTTTGGGCTCTCATTCTGACGGCACCCATTTACTGCAGAGGATCCATTGCTGAGCAAGTGATGTAATGCTAAATTTCTCCAAATCTGTTCCAATCAAGAAACAACTCTATTATTTGACATGATAGTAACATTAGTACAATATATGTTTCATAATCATAATAAAAAAATATAGTTATTATTATTCTTTTGTAGTCATATCAAATAGGTCACAAACCGTGGGAAAATGGCAAGATATTTAAAACAACAACAAAAAGCCTCTCTGTTGATTTTATGATTACTGAAAGAGGTTTGAGTGGTAATAACTACAATTAACACTGACTATCCATTTAAAATATTTATTTAGCACTGTTCGTCATTATTACTACTCTTGCATGTAGTTTAATACTGATTTTTGCCACATAGTCAGCAAATTATTCATGATGTGAATCTTTACACAAGAGACGCATCAGTCTAACAACAGGTAGCTTCACCTGTCAACTCCCTTACTGTCAATATGACATTGTATTGTCAATAAAACCTTTTTTGCATTTAAGCTTCACCAAAGGCTGCAAGTCAAAGGTTAGACCATCTTACTGAACAAAAGTTGTATAAAAACACTTAGTCATTTTCAGATGAATGAGTTCACTGGGTTCATATATTCTTAAAAAGGCTCGTCCCAGAAAACGTCTGCTGCTCTAGTTGTTGGACTGAGTCTCAAAGGGGTGCTAATGTGGAGAGAGAGAGTTTGTATGTGCCCTTGACCTGTTCCCACCCATAGGAAGTCACGAGAGGGATGGTCCACCATATACATGTGTCAGTGTGGTTATACCGGCCCCTTCCTTAACCTTCAATGGCCAGAAATATTGTGTTTTTTTGCAGCGCAACAACACAGTACCGAGCTTGTGTAGCTAGAACTGTCTCAGTTCAAGTAGAAGTATTACACTTTTGCTGCATAACTATTCTAAGCCATCAGATTTATGATTTTTCCATTTTGTTAGTGCTGCTGAGACTAATTATGTTTTGATAGGTAGATTGCAAGTGTAATTTCCCAAGCAGTCTATTTCCTAGATTGACAATGATGTCAGATTCCCAGTCATTGTGTGACAAGTATCCCAGTTTCAAAGGCTGAAAACATGGGCAATTACTTGCCTTTGTGAAAATGTCAAAGTGCTCCAAAGACCTGCCATAACAGGTTGCCTGCCCACACCATGGCAACCACGGTCGAGCCGGTCTCCATGAGGACCTGTGCCAACCTGATTTACTTTTCTTTACTTTTCAAGTCAGCCTTGGAGACAGGGAGTGATTTTGAACGTTATCTATGGCTTGGCATTGCTTACATAAAGATCAAATAGAGAACAGGCTGGAATTGTTCCTGTTTTGGGCAAAGAAGATTGATATTGTAAATTATGATGATAGTTTATGTATTATTGATTGAAAGGTAATGGTGATATTTATTATATAATTAGCCGTTTAATTTTTAAATTTAAATTAAAAGTTGTTTTTTTAACTTAATATTTAATTTTATTTAAATCATCAGATATTCAAACTTATTTATAATATTTTACATTTAACATGATTTTAACAATAATAATAATGGCTATTTTATTGTATTAACAATAATAATGTATAATATTTATAGTATAATGCTTTTGAAAATGATGATTGTATGAATGAATTTGTATGATCATTAGTAGTAGTAGTATTAAAGGGGTCATATGATGCAATTTCAAATTTTCCTTTCTCTTTGACGTGTTACAAGCTCTTGGTGCATAAAGAAGATCTGTAAAGTTGCAAAGACTAAAGTCTCAAATCCAAAGAGATATTCTTTATAAAAGTTAAGAGTCAACCACGCCTACCTAAAACGGCTCGTTCTAACACGCCCCCACATACCTACGTCACGATGTGGGAAGATTTGCATAACGCCGCCCAAATGTTCACGCAAAGAAAGAAGGCGTAACTTTTATTCTCGCTGTAGTATTGTTGTTGCCGCCGCCATGTCGTGAAGACGCTGTGTTTTGTTGTGAAAGCGAAACTACTTTGTTTGGCCTTCCAAAAGAGGACGATATCCGCTTCGTCATGCCTAGAGCTGATCCGTGCCGGTCGCTGAGGAAATACATCAACTTTGCACTGTCGATCGCCGGATCGGCTTTCATCGTGGACGAAGCGGAGTCCAGCCCAGGGTCGTCAAATGTGGTTGCCGCAAGCCCTCCAGACGCTCCTTCGTCGAATCCGCCGTCCGCCGCTCACTCAAGGCCACCGTTTGTGATGCTGTGTTTCGTTGTGAAAGCGAAACTACTTTATTTGGTCTTCCAAAAGAGGACACGACTAGAAATCAGTGGTTAAGTTGTATTTACAACACTGTTCCAGAACACTTCAACCCAAATATTCAGATGTGTGCAGCACATTTTATGGAGGACTGTTTCCTGATACTGGTAGAGTAGACTACAATGCCGGCTCTTCTGACTCACAGACTGTAAGTAGTTTTTTTTTTTATATATATAAAGAATTTGCCACTGACGATTCCAACGCGGGTTTTGACCAGTGTTTAGTTTAGCGCTTGTTGTTTGTCATTTCTCCGATCACAAATGCAGACATGGTTTTATGTTTACACGGCGCGATGCAATGCAACGATTCCACCCGATACACAAAATAATGTTTTTTAGCAACATCACATGACCCCTTTAAGGGTAGTGGTGGATTTATTTATTTATTTGTTTGATTTTACATTAACAACAATAGCTATTTTTTATAGTCATTAATTTGTTGTTGTTGTAAATAACAATAATGATGTCAGTTTTAGTGTTATAATAGTGCATTATAATTTATAATAGTTTATGTATTATAATGTATTATATTTTACATAATTAAAAAGTTTTATAATATGTAATATTTTTAAACATTAAAGGCACAATATGTAAGATTTCTTTTATTAAAAATATCCAAAAAACCACTAGAACAGAGTTATATATTTTGCTGACTTGTGTACTTACATTATCCTAAATGTTTTCGAAGAATGTTTAAATCCAGAGAAATAAGCAATTTTAACTAGTGAGACGGACCGTGTCTATAGTGTCATTGTGTCGCCTGCTAATGACGGCATAAGCACTCGATTTCTGGTTTTGTTTTGTAGAAAACATGGAAACCCCAAAGACGCTTTAATATGTTGTGTTTTTTAATAGACCGGTGACGACCGCACAGAGTAGCGTTATAACAGAACTTTCAAATGTATCTAGTATGATAAAACAGCGCTGCTTTACCCCACATACGCATGACCGGAAGGAGCGGAAGCGGTCGACTGTGGCATAATAAAAGCTCCGCTGCTTTCGAGCCATGTGTCACGCTCGTTCAGCGGCCTCGTTTCGCTTCGACGGCTTTCAGTCTCACCCTGCTTCATTCTACTACGTTAATAAATCATTAGTGCATCCATGAACATGATTTCTGCCCGAGTCCCGTCGGATTGCTTCAGCTGTGGGGATGAAGACGGCAACTCCCATGATTCCACACTCAGTCACGGCGTCATCAAACTATGCCTTTGTTTCTTTGTTTCTTTGTTTATTTTGAATACGTGCCCTCCAGCGGCGAAAAATGACATATTGTGCCTTTAACATTTATAGATTGTTTTACATTAACAGTGTGATTTTAACAATAATAAAAATAAGTTTATTTATAGTTATATTATTATTACTATTATTATGTAATTTTGAATGTGGAATTTAGATTCCAATGCCTAAATAGTTCTGTTGTGTGAGATACACCGATGGTGTGGGTGTGTGAGATTGATTTCTGTGCCAGGGAGAGTGTGCTGCTGACCAACTCTAATCACTGTTATGCCGAGTTCAAACTGCACGATTTTCACTCGCCAACAAGTTTTGAGAAATCTCAAAAGACTCGATCGATGCCCCTGAAATATTTGTCATGCTAAATATCTGGACCTGTCGGCGTTTCAAAATCCTGCTGTGTGAAACGAGTTCTGACTTAAAAATACATCAGCGATGACCTACAGCCAATGAGAGAGCAAGGTACAGGGCTTCGGGGAGGAGTTATAGACCACAATATCAGCAAGCATGGCTACGGTTCCGAGAAAGGCTCCTTCTCTGTCTATTTGGACCCAAGAAATGGAGGATAATTTTAATAACATTTTAACAACATTTCCAGTCTCGCGCGAGTGAGAACTCTGATCTCACTTTCCTTATCACTTCTCGCATGCGTTTGGTTATGAAACGTAGCTTGTGGACCAGACAGACGGTGCGTTCCAAACGGGATATATCGCCCTCCGAAGGGCACTTCGGAGTGAAAACAATCATGACCGCCATATTGAAGGCTCATTCCAAACCGAAGTGCTCAATACCGGCCACTTCAAAGGGCCCTTCGGAATGAAGGATTTCGAAGGGCACAACTGATGGACACTTCGGGCTATCTATGATCCTTTGCGGAGATTCTTTGTATGATGACGGCTCCTCCGTGTGGGCTCGTGATGATGGGCACTTCAAGAAACAGTTGCTTGGTCCCCTACACCCTTCAACCCTTCGAAGCTCTCACTCCGGAGGGTAAACCCTTTGAACGGATTAGGGCATAGGGATGAGCCCTTCCGAATGGAACTCAGGGAGAGTTGTTCGATTCTTCCTATTGTAAAGTCATGCAGTGTGTAACCTCTTGTCGCCGATCCATCGTGCAATGTGAACACAGCAGCAACTGAATGCTACCCCAGATAGTCCTGCAGTGTGAAAACAACTGTGATCCGATGACTTGTGTGACTTTTGACTTTTTGTTTACCTAAAGGCATAGATTCACTCGGTCGTAAAGCAGCACATTTTGTAGTAGAGACGTGCAAACATGATTAATAATCTGAAATTATGTAAATTGTTAGTTATTTCTGATTGATGTGGGATTTACGGTGGACTCTAGGGGGCGATCGAGGCCCATTTTTATTTATCTGTTTTCTGTCACTTTTAAACCATGCCAAATTTGGAAATGAATGGTTTGTGGTTTCTCCGATTTTATCGTCTCTTTTCTGTCAACATATTTGCCTTTCATGATTCTGGTCAGCGCACAGTCAGCAGCAGTCTAAAATAAAACTTGTGGAATTGCAGGCCTTTAGTTATCCGTTGCCCTCAGAATGTCATTGGTGGTGGTACGGTCACGAGGCTTCTGCATATAACTTTTCATTTTCGCTCAGATATATCTCGTTTGAACCCTTACCTTATTTATATCTCTCTCTTTCCCTCTGTGTCTGTCTGTCTTCCTGTGCTGCTGCTGCTGTCTCAGGCTCAGGTGGCGTTTCTGCAGGGTGAGAGGAAAGGTCAGGAGAACATGAAGCAGGATCTGGTGCGGCGAATCAAGATGCTGGAATACGCTCTGAAACAGGAGAGGTGAGCCGACACACAGATGAGCCTCTTTAGCTCGCCGTATAATGTGAAACCCCTGCTCAGTAAAAACACAATAGAACATTACAAAAAAGTGATAAATAATGGATCGAAACCGTTACAACTTTCAATTTTAATTTGATGAGCCATGTTAAGCTGTTGTAAAATTTCCTTTTTTTATGTTCTGTTTTTGTGTGTGTGTTTGTTTTCTGTTACTTTTGTTTTGTTATTTTTTTGTTTTGTTACTTTACTGTTTTATATCTGCTTTGTTCTCTTTTTGTTTTGCTACTTCTCTGTTTTATGTCATTTTTCTGCTTTGTTCTTTTTTTGTTTTGCTACATGTTTGTTTTATATAGTTTTTTTTCCTGCTTTGTTCTTTTTTTGCTTTGCTACTTTTCTGTTTTATGTTATTTTCCTGCTTTGTTATATTTTTGTTTTGTTACTGTTCTGTTTTATGTTGTTTTTTTCTGCTTTGTACTATTTTTGTTTTGTTACTTTTCTGTTTTGTTTAGCTGTTTTTCTGCTTTATTCTGTTTTTGGTTTGTAGTTTTGTGTTGTTGTTTTTTTTTGTTCTGTATTTTTGTTTTGATCTTTGTTGTATTGTTTTTTTTTGTTCTTTTTATGTTCTATTATGTATTTGTTTTGTTCTTTTTTTGTGTTGTTTTGTTAAAAATTTTTTGCTTTATATTGGGTTTCGTTTTTGTGTTGCCTTGATTTTCTGCTTTCATTTTTTTCTGTTTAATTGTTTGAGAGAAAATGCTGTCCTGAAGCACATTGAGAGATCTGAGGATGTTTCCAAGAGTTTGTGTGTTAATCACTTATAATCTTGTCATTTTGATCCCAGGGCCAAACATCAGAAGCTGAAAAGTGTTACTGACCAGAGCCCTGGAGAGAAGAAACCAGAGACAGAAGCTGAACCAAGTAACAACACAAAAACTAACCTATTAAACACATGCACTTATGAAGCTTGATGTGGTTCAAATTTACCAACACATGTTAATCATGCCCAGAACAAATACTGTATGCTGCTGGTTATATATTTTCTTTGTGTTCAGTGACATCATTCTGTTTCTCACAGTACCCAATGGGCCTGCAGATTCAGATTCGGAACCAACCAATCAGATGCCTTGGAAGGAGGGCCGTCAGTTATTGCGCAAGTCAGTGTATTTTGTTTGCATTCATTTTCAGATTTATTTATCAAAAATATTGTGCTGACCCTGTGCATGTGGTGTTTTTGTGTGTGCACATGAGCAGGTATCTGGAGGAGGTGGGATATTCTGACACCATCTTGGACATGCGTTCCAAACGTGTTCGTTCCCTGTTGGGTCGCAACAGCCCAGAGGCGAATGGGCCTCCTCCCAGCGAACCGCCCACAGAACCAGAACCTCACAGTGGAGGAGAGTCACTACTAGTGCGCCAGATAGAAGAGCAAATCAAACGGTTAGAGCAACACGCACTTTGACATATTAGTATTAAAGGGATAGTTCACCCAAAAATGAAAATTCTGTCATCTTTAGGAATTGAGGAATCTTAATCGATATTAAACAATCTCTTATAAAATTAATTAAATTATCTCTTGTAAAAAAAAAAAAAAAAAAAATCAATCAGTTTAACACCCATTTATTTGTTATTTATTTGTGTGATAAGTGGGATATTATGAAAACATACTGAAACAATTCTAACTTAAATTTCGGTTGTAAAATTTATTTTGGCTTTCTATGATTTTCTTTTTTGTGTGAGTGGGGGTTTCTGTTTTATACTTTTTAATTCCTTTTTTGTGTTTTGTTCCTTTTTTGTTTTGTTATTGTTTGTTCTGTTTTGTTTTTTGTTGTATTTATTTTTTGTGCTTGATTCTTCTTTTGTTCTGTTTGTTTTGTTTTTGTAATGTTCTATTTTTTTGTTTTGTTCTGTTTTTTGTTGTTGTTTGTTTTTTTGTATTACAATGTAAAAAATTTTGTCTTGCTTTTATTTTATTTTTGTTTCATTTTAATTTTGTTTTATTTTACTTAGCAAATCTCCCACAGCTGAATGCTGCTATAAGCACACACCTTTGACTGCACTTTGACTTGTGTTGCTTGTCAACTGCAGACAGCATTTTGTTAGGATAATGCAGTTTGTTTCTTGGCCGAGGGATTGTTTATTCCTTTAACTGTTCATAATAAATATAACTCCTAACTGAACGTTGTGTACTTTATCATATTGTTGTTCTTAGCAGTTTAGACAATCAATAATCCACAAGAGACTTGAAAGAGGTGTTCTAATTTCATATAAGTGTTCGCAAGGCCATTTTTGAAACTAAAGTTTTTGCAGTTATGCTTGTTGTGGTAATCATGAAGAAATATCTCTCCTGCAGACGTGCTGGAAAAGAGAGCTCTAAAGAACGGTTGGGAAGCTCTGTCCTGGATAAGATTCCTTTCCTTCGTGGCTGTGAGGACGACGATGAGGATGACAGTGATGAAGAGGAGGACTTCCAGGGCATGACTACAGACTGCATTGACGGACGCAAAAACAAGAAGTCCAGGAGCAAGGTCAGAGTGTTTACATGAAGATAAGGTCTGCACGCACAGATCCTGTTTTGTTCCTAACAGCGTGTCGCCTTTGCACATGTAGATGGGTGGAGAATCCATGACCACAGATCTTGACCCTGAGGATGACGATGATGAAGATGATTCTGAGGACGCTCTGGGCGAGTTTGATTTCTTGGGCTCAGGAGAGGAAGGAGAAGGGGCGGGAGAAGCTCGCATATCTGGAGATGGCCGTGAATTAGGTATGGAGGCCCATATGTTCAAAATTTTTGGAAATATGGTCATGAAAAGTACTACTAGACAACTCGCCATTCCTGCATGTATTTTTGACAGTGGATGTGAGGGTTTCCCTTCCCTTTATTGTCATGCTGTGACCACTTATTGTTTTCTTTTAATTTGCTTTTGTTTGTAACTTCCTGTTGATGAAATCTGTTGACGGGACCTCCATTCACCTCCTTCACGTCACTGCACGCTTGTTTGTTTCCCTGATATTCTTTTTACCTGAGTGACTGGCAGCAGTGGATTTTTATAAATTTTTTCCTGCTCTGTCTGCTGGTTTGTTTAGTCCTCTCACTTCCTCTGCCCAGGTTCAGAAAACCGCCGGAATAAGTTGCAAGGCATTATGTCAGATTTCCCGCCCAGACCCACTCCACCTCCTACTATCCCGGGCCAGACACGCTCCGGAGAGGGTAATATTAACCATCCGGCTCTCTGAATGTACCCTCCAATCCTAAACTGATCACTTTTAGATCATAAAAAAGCCTAATGTTTACAGCTATTTGCTTTGAAATGGATTAAAGGTGGGGTAAGCAATAAAAAAAATGCTTTAGAAAACTGATTCGGGCCGGATAGCAAAACAAACTTGTAGCCAATCAGCAGCAAGGGGCGTGTCTACCGGTCTGCGATCGGACGCCGAGGTTGCTTTGTTTCTTCTTGATAGTTGAGTAACACCGTGTCTGCGCCGCAACAGCTAAAGTCTGTCTAGTACACTGGACGCAACAAAGCAACCGTTGAAAATCATTTGAAATTTGTATCAATACGTCATGAATAGAACGCAGCAGCAGTTTTCTGTCGGGGATTTGTCGTGCTGCGCCACATCCAGTGTAGACCTTAGATATGTATATATATATCTATGGTGTAGACAGCATCACTGATTATAATGAGTTCCATAGTATTTTGTCGTGCCGCGCCACTCGCGTCCGGTGTAACATTGGTTTTGCTTTGTTTCACAGAACTAATCGTTGCCTGGGTTGTGTACGTATGTGTGGGGCGGAGCTATCAAAATAGGGGCGAGACCCTTTTGGGGTAGGGGTGTTTGTTTTGGTGATTTGAACTGTCAACATTGGGTACCAGAAATCACTTACCCCACCTTTAAAAGAGTCATTTATTTATTTCCATTGCTCAACCATTACTTTTTTAATGCATTGATAAATAAAAATTTTGTTAAAAATTAATTTTTTTCCCCACATTGTAGATTATATTATTTTAAAGTGTATTATACTGATTTAATTTGATATTATATTATATTATATTATATATTATCTCACTGAAATTATTGAACCATTTTTCATTTTATTTGTCAGTATAACGAATGCAAATATTCTTTTTTATAAATGTCAAATGCATAGCAGAAAGTTGATTGATGATACATGTTGCTCAGTTGGCTTTTGAATCTATCTGTCTGTCAATTTATTTATTTAGTTTATTTATTTAAAGCGAGAAAACATTCAGCCAAACCATCTTTGTTGCCAAGAAGATTACAAATATTTTATGTACTATGTAAAATAAAAATGTGGGCATTTTTCCTCATTGTATATTATAATATATGATATTTACACAATTTGAAAGTTATAATCGTTTTTATCAGTATAGCAGTGATTATTAAAGGTGCAATATGTAAGATTTTTTATTAAAATATCCAAAAACCACTAGAACAGTGTTATATATTTTGTTGACTTGTGTAGTTGAATTATCCCAAATGTTTCGAAGAATGTTTAAATCCAGAGAAATAAGCAATTTAACTAGTGACACGGACCGTGTCTATTGTGTCATTGTGTCGCCTGCCAATGACGTCATAACGCCGGTATAACGATTTCCGTTTTTTTTTTTTTTGTAGAAAACATGGAAACACCAAAGACGCTTTAATATGTTGTGCGTTTTATTAGACCGGTGACGACCGCACAGAGTAGCATTATAACAGAACTTTCAAATGTATCTAGTATGATAAAACAGCGCTGCTTTACCCCACATACGCACGACCGGAAGGAGCAGAAGCGGTCGACTGTGGCATAATAAAACGGCTGCTTTCGAGCTGTGTGTCACTCTCGTCTCTCATTAGCAATTGCTTCAGCGGCCTCATACCATACCATATCATACCAAACCACACCGGTTACTTAGGTACCGGTGCCATATTGGTACCGGGTTTCGGTACCCAACTCTAGTCGGCTGTGGGGATGAAGACGACAACTCCCATGATTCCACACTCAGTCACGGCGTCATCAAACCACGCCTTTGTTTCTTTAGAATACGCGCCCTCTAGCGGTGAAAACGTACATATTGTACCTTTAATAAATTGTAATATTTTTTTACATTTTTAAAAAAAATTTTTTTATGTAAAATGCATATACGCTTCTTAGCATGGGTGGAGGAGAAGAAGAAGTAAAATTCATAGTGAGAACTACATGATGCATAGTACACAATTGTTTTTTGAATCTATTTATTGAAATTGACATTCCAAACAAGCTAAATCAGAAATGCTTGTTTAAATGATTTGGACTTTTTTTTTCCTAATAAAACTGAAGTCTCGAGACAACTTTAAAATACTTGCAAAGTCCTTTGTAAAACTGCATTTTACTCATAGTGATATTCTTAATGTTTCTTAATTTTTACTTTTATTATAAACTACTATATATATATATATATATATATATATATATATATATATATATATATATATATATATAATTTT